CCAAGGAAGACACTTCATGTGTTTCTGCTATCCGCTTTATCGGCGTTCGAGATAGTATTTCATTCACAAACTCCTTGTTAGTGACAAACTGCAAGAAATGTAAACAATTAGCAACACAAGTTATTATGAACATTAGACATTGGGTCATTTCAAGATTAAGAGCCTTACATTTTTCACAAGTGATGTTTTTGTATACCACGGCGCAACACAGTTGCTCCTTATATTATCTTTCGCCCATTCACAAGCAAGATTTTTTGTCAGCTGATTGATTGCAGCTGAAGAAAACATCACAATTTGTATCCATTATATATGTTGAAGCAAAATATGACATAATGATACATCAAGTTAGTTACCTTTACTAACTGCATAAACAGACGCAGAACCTACGCTTGTGAGAGATGCAACCGAGGACATGAACACAATGCTTCCATTACCAGATTCTTTAAGAAGAGGATATGCGAGTTGGCATAGATGGAATGCTGAATCCAAGTTAGTAGTCATCACTTTCGAATAATCTTCGGCTGTGAACTCAATTGTTGGCTTCCTCACATTTGTACCAGCATTGTTTACCTAACCATCAAGCCTAGAAATATATAGGAACATAATTGGAAAACATAAATGTAATCAAATATATAGAAAAGAAATAACCAACCAGTATGTTGAGCTTGCCGTTGAAGGTAGAAGCCACTTGTCGAATAAGCTCGTCTCTTTGAGAAGAAGAAGACGCGTCACAAGTCGATCCATAAACCGAAAAACCCTTGTCTTTCCATTCATTTATGCATTTATTAAGCTCCTTTTGGTTCCTAGAACAAGTGTACACTGTGGCACCAAACTCGGCAAGTTCCTCCACTACAGCGTGACCGATTCCACGAGTTCCACCGGTAACCAGAGCAGTGGTTCCCTTGAGGGACCATCTTGTGCCTATGCTACTGCTCACTAAGTTCGTCATTGTTGTTTCTGTGACCCTATCGAGCTGTGTGTATATCAAACGGCGTTGTTTATTTATGTATGAAAAATTGTGCAGTGTTCTGATTTGGCATAAATATTTTAATGATCTACACTAGTTGTGTTGTGCCCATTGCGGATTGCGGGGTGTTTTCGGTTATCAAGTAAAAGAATAATGAAGCATAAATTAACGAAAGAGACTAATGATCACTTGATTTGGCTCTCTGTGTAGTAGTGGAGGTCATTAAAGTATTTATTCTTAAATTTGGCTCCTCTTGCTTGATAACTAGTACCATTGTTGCTTAGTTGTTCCGCTAATCGATGCGGTGCGGTGTTGATCGACTTGAACGTGAAAGTTATACATTCAAAACTATGAGAATTCAAGTCATTTTTGTTGTTAAGGAAGTTCACCTCTTTTTATCAACCAACTTTAGCTTTTTCTGGATTGCTTCTGAGTTTTTTCCGAGCAAATTTGTACATGATTATGTTAATAGCGGTAAAGATACCATTCAAGTTTATAATTTTTTCTTTTGTGATAAGAAGTTTCTATCTCGATGATGACATCACATTTGCTTGAATTAAGTGAGGTAGAAGTTAAAGAATCTCTTCGTTTTGAGTCTGAAGGTGCACTTATTTAAGTTCAACATCTTACTAAATTGTCATATATGGGTGAATATAACTGCAATGTGATTTTGTGTAGAGAATGGTGTCCTAACTATCTAAAGTGGTGTACTGATATTTCACAAATTATATGGACTTTTATCAGTTAATTATATGAACTTTTAATAATTAATTATATAGATCTAGTGCATCGAGTTTGATTTGACATGTGGAAGAAAATATACCAAAATTTGACTTGTTCGATTTGACTTAATTTTCATTTATAAATCTCGAAGTTCATTGAAGTTTTATGAAAAAATAATTATAAATATTTTATAGATTTATCCACCAATAAATGGAGGTTTTGAAATAATATGGATTATAAATATTAGTTATCATTTTAAGTCCATATAATTTGCTAAAAATTTTTATTTTAGAATTTTTTATTTTAAATTTTTTTAAATTTTTTTAATTTTTAGATTTTTTTATAAAATTTTTTTAATATTTATTTTCAAAGAAAAAATATATTAAAATCTAAGTATTTAAATTTAAAAATTGATATAATTTTAAAAAAATTAAATTTAAATTTAACTAAATAATTTGGGTTAAAATCAAAATCCATTTAGAATCGGTTTTAAACCGGTTTAGAACAAGTGGTTTGGTTTATAAACCATAACCATAAAAATAAATTAGTTCATATTAAATGGTTATATCATATGTACAGTTTGGACCAAATGAAGCATCAGGGTTTGAAAATGTCTTTTGCAGTGTTAACTACTCTCAGCATCGGTGTTGCAGTTCTTGTCTTTTTAATAATAATTTGGTGGATTTGAGAATCCTACATTAAAATATTGGTTTTAACGATTGTTGTCTTATTACTTTGACTGTATTCATGTTTAATTTTTTATATGGATTTTCCATATATATATATATATATATATATATATATATATATATATATATATATATATATATATATATATATATATATATATATATATATATATATATATATATATATATATATATATATATATATATATATATATATATATATATATATATATATATATATATATATATATATATATATATATATATATATATATATATATATATATATATATATATATATAATCAATTTTTCTGTATTGTCAAATACTCGTGCTTGAACATTTTCATTTCTTAATACAAAGTATATAATTAAAATGTTTCAGGTGGTTTATCAATTATTTGATAGTTTGCAATAAAATTGATATTTTTAAAGAAATGGTTTTAAAACTGATTTTTTTTATATAATTGGTTTTAAAACGGAATTCTTTAAAGAAAATAAAAAACTGGTTTTGAGAGACATCGGTTTAAAACTGGTTTTTAAAAAAAAAATTTTTTTAAAATCGGTTTGAAACTGAACCAATCTACTTGTAAATCGATTTTAAAAAAATAAACCGATTTTATATAAACGATTTTAAGATCCAAACCAAACCATATATGTGGTTTGGTTTGGTTTGGTTTATAATCCATGCACACCCTTACTTGTGCATGCATTATTTAATCTCCCTTACATTATATTTTTGATCATTTAATTGTATGTTGTTGAATGTTGTTGCAGGTCTATTTTCTATTTTATTGCATGTATCATGTCTATCTTTGTGTTATATATTCGATCTTTATTGTTTGGATATTTTTTTTTAGCTATTTAGCTCATGTGTTTATTTAGAACTATTTGGAACTCGAAAATAGGCTACTTGCAAGTTTCAAAGAGAAAAACTCGTTGAAAACTCTAAAATTGAAGAATTCTAAATTCCTAAATCGTTGAAGTTTTCAAAATAGAAATTCATTCTTACATTTTCGTGCAAGTGTTTCCTTTTCTCTCATTTTTCAATTCCATATCTCAATCTTCCATTTCATTTCAACTTTTACATGTTTATTTTTCAATGAAAGGTTATTATTGTTGTGTGATTTTGCTCTTGTTTTTAATTACACAGAATATAGCATTTGTTTGTTTTTTAATTGTGAAATTTTGGTTATTATCGATAGAGGACTTAGCTACTACTGACTTTGTGATGTCTCTGCCTTCATAATTTTACTACACTCTTATCTTACAATTTTACTAACATATTTGGACTTAGCTACAACTGACTTTGTGATGTCTCCGCCTTCATAATTTTACTACACTCTTATCTTACAATTTTACTAACATATTTTCCAGTTTGATAACTAGGAAAATAGTTTTTATCACATAAAATTACGCCAAATCACATTATTATGAACCATGCCAATTTTATCATCATCATCTAATCTTTGATTGTTAGAGAGGTAGTTGTTCTCCCTTCTATGACTCTAAAAAAAATCATATAAAATAATATATTAAAAAAGTTTATGATAAAAAATGCTAAAAATAAATTTAAAATGGTTTTTTATTAAAAAAATTTCAAAAACAAGTATCACAGTTCGATTCTTTAAAAAATAATTCGATTTGAAAAATAAAATGTCTTCTAATAATTTTGGTACGGTTTCAAAGTCCGAACCATTATGCCAAACCAAAACTTTTGGTTCAGTGTACGGTTTTAGAAAAATTGAAACAATTTAATTCGGTTCGGATGACCTTATATAATAGTTTGGTTCAGTTTTCAAACAGAATTGTACCATAAACAGCTCTACTTGAGAATATGATCATATTCTATAATTTGAAATGCTCCAATGTGTTCCTGAGTAGTAACAATCCAAAAGATATTACTATATGAGTAACCTAGGAGAAAAAACATGCATTCATTCAAATAATAGACATATTTGTATTAACTAGTTTTGAAATAGGTAAAATGTGTGATTATTTGAGTCAAATTTGATCCAAAATGAAGAAATGCTAGAATTTTCAGATTTAGGGATGAAAATATTTGAAATACTGAAGTAAATGGAAGAAGAAGGGATTCATGTCTTAAAGAGGGTTTATGCGTATGCGTTATTGAAGTGAAAAATGTTAGGAACTACAATTGAATTGTATTGCAGAGAAATCTGGTAACACCGCAGAACCCAATTCTAATCACGAGCAAGATGAAACTGAGAAGTTGCGCAAACCTCATTTTTCTAATACAGTAAATGAAAATGATGAAATTCTTGAAAGTTGAAATATCTACGATGTTTCATTCATGTAATCTGAGGGATGATATATTAGTAGCAAGTAATGCTTCAATACAACATCAAGAGAAATATGAAGAACCAGAATATGTTCAAGAATATATTGATATCTGCGAGAAACATGCAGGCAAGACTACGGGCAATTTTCATGACATGGTGCATTCCTAGACGAGTCGTGGTAGATGAACATAATCAAGAATACCATTCAGAAAACAAAATGATAAATGACAAACCGAAAGCCATCCACTCTAGCCAGAATTTGATGAATACCATTATTATGTTGCCAAAACATTGCTGAAAATAAAAATGACATTCTTGCTTTAGGTAATCCTCATGCTGGGTTGAAATCCATTAACAGTAAATCCTCCATCAACAGAAACAATCTGTCCAGTGATGTAGGAAGCAGCTGGCAGGCAAAGGAAAGTCACCAAGGAAGACACTTCATGTGTTTCTGCTATTCGCTTTATTGGTGTTCGAGATAGTACTTCATTCACAAACTTTTCATCAGCAATTAACTGTAAGAAAGGTAAACAATTAGCAACGTAAGTTATGAGCTTAACATTGCCATTTGAAGATCAACTCTACAAATGGTAAGGCCTCCGAATGGATAATTCAAGGTGCGAAAGAGCATTACATGTTCCACAAGTGGTGTTTTTGTATACCACGGCGCAACACAGTTGCTCCTTATATTATCTTTTGCCCATTCACAAGCAAGACTTTTCGTCAGCTGATTGATTGCAGCTGAAGAAAACATCACGCTGCATCGCATTAGTAAACAAATTCCTTTCAAAATGGTTTACGCCCATCATATTTGAGCAGATTATTATACATAGAGTCAGTTACCTTTACTCGCTGCATAGATGGTTCCAGAACCTACACTCGTGAGAGATGCAACCGAGGAAATAAACACAATGCTTCCATTTCCAGATTCTTTGAGAAGAGGATACGCCAGTTGGCATAGATGGTACGCAGAATCCAAGTTAGTAGACATCACTTTCGAATAATCTTCGGTTGTATACTCAATTGTCGGCTTCCTCACATTCGTTCCAACATTGTTTACCTAAGCTCACAAGTTTATGATAAGAGCATAACTTTCCACAAATTGAAAATTTGTATTTGATCCAGATGGAGAAGAAATAACCTACAAGTATGTTGAGCTTCCCGTTGAAAGCAGAGGCCACTTGTCGAATAAGCTCCTCTCTTTGAGAAGAAGAAGACGCGTCACAAACCGATCCATGAACCGAAAAACCCTTACTTTTCCATTCATTTAAGCATTTATTAAGCTCTTCTTGATTCCTAGAACAAGTATACACTGTGGCACCAAACTCAGCCAGTTCCTCCACTACAGCATGCCTGAACGGTAAAAAAACAAACCCCAGAAATTTCAACAACGAGAAAAATCGTAAATTTAAGGTTTTTAAGTAAATTCCATTTTCATGAAATTCAATTTAATTCAAACAAAAAAGTGTTTACATAAAAATGAGAGAGAAAAAAAAAAAGTGAAATGAGGGGGAAAACTGAAAAGAAAATAAAGCGAACCCAATTCCACGTGTTCCACCGGTGACTAGAGCTGTGAATCCGGCGAGGGACCACCTTAAGCCTCTGCTAGTGCTCTCTGGCTTCGCCATTGTTTATCAGATATCAAATGTCAGCCGTTTGTGTTTCAATCCCACTCTGGCCACTCGAGTAGCGAAATTTGGGTATAACTACTTCTTTTTTTCTTTATAGGAAATTCTCTTAATAAGTATATTTTTCACACCTTTCATAAAAATTTAAAGTTCACTAAACATACTTTTTTTAAGTTTTTTCTAAATAGACTTAATATATGTTTTAATCTCTTAACTTTATTTAATATTTCGTTTTAATCTTCTCACTAAAAAATGTTTTAAGTTAGTCTCCTAACTTCATTTTCGTTATACTATTTGGTTTCTTCTGTTAAATGCTGGCAAAAAAAACATTAAGTTATGGTGACGTGGATGTACAGCAAGACTCAAGGTCCAAATGTGATTCAACATTTTTACTATCAAGTTGGGTTTTTAATTAAGTTTCTTAGAAGGTAAACAACGTTAATCTGAGAAACTTAAGTGGAAATCCTACATTATAGTACAAATGCCGAATCACATTTGGATCTTGAACCTTGTTGTACATCCATGTCACCATAACTTAATGTGTTTTGCTAGAATTTGACGGAAATGACCAAATAAAGTAAAAGAAGTGAAGTTAAGGGACTAGCTTGTAACATTTTTTTAGTTAAAGGACTAAATCGAAACATTAAATTAAGTTAAGGGATTTGAGAAATGAATTTACCTTTCAAATACCATTTAACACTCTATATCTCGGGATGAGTTTTGCTACCTTTGAGACGCCAAAGACACGGTATCTTTGGGTCTATCTTTCTCTACTTCATATTCATTCTCATCCTACTTTCCAATTTTTCTTCACTTTCTCTTTCATCAAAATTAGGTAAAATGAACCAAAGACATGGTGCCTTTGACGCCACATAGGCACCAAATGTTTGCCCATATATCTCACATTTGTTTAAATCCTAAAAAAAACCTTACATTTTTATTTGATTATTACACTTGATCACAAAATCAATCTCTTTATCAATCTCTTTCTAACACTATTAACATTTTATCATTTTAAATTACATTTAATGTATTTATATCTCTTTCCTTTGATTCATATTATGATTTTTATGTTTTAATAATGTTGATATCATTAGAAAAGATCTTTTCAAATTAGAGTGAATATATGTTCTATTCTATTTAGTTTTCATGCAACGATTATAAATATGGTGTACATTAATGTTGTCAGCTCAGTCTTTAAAAAAATATATGTTGTTGGTCTAGATGCTAATGTAACAGAGATTGGTGAATCAGATGTTCATAAACCTAATATTGTTCAAGTTGATGTTGAGAAATCTATTATCACTAAATAGACGTTTATGTTGTGATGAGTATGTGTAAAAAATGGGTATGTGCAGAAAATGTTAAGGTTAATGTTGAGGTAGCTATTTAAAGGTTTGATTTTAGTTCTGATAGAAGATGTAACACTCCACTTCCTAAATTAAATAAAATACGAATAAATCAATTAAATTATCAGAGTTTCTCTTCTAAAAGTGAGATATTACTTTTCACAAAAATTTTCACAAAACATTTCACTAAAAGATTTTCAAAATAAACAGCGAAAAAGAAATTTGCCACAACATATATTCATATATGTACATCATCTCATACATCATGTTCGGCCATCTGCCCAAAATATACAAAACATCATCAAAACATGATACGACACGGAGTATAAACAAAATCATCAGATAGGCAATACACTCCCCAAAGCCCCGTGTTACGTATTAGAGCATCCTAGACTCGATCAGCACACCGCTATCCAACTAGCTAAACACCTGGATTATCTATACTTCCGAAGAAGTACAGACCATAACAACAGCAAAGGGGTGAGAAAACATGATCGAAATATAACGGTAAATATTTACATGAAATAAAGGCAGTAAATAAATACATCTTCACCCCACAAATCATCATACACGACCTACTGTTCAATCATCAATTACAGCATACAATAATGCACAAATGCAACTCAACACATGCATGCGGTACCGACTTAAACTCAGGATAGATCGCATACACTCCATCCGAGCAACGATCTATCCCTACCACGCTCCTCCTGAGCACATATAATCAAATCTCAGGATAGATCGCATACACTCCATCCGAGCAACGATCTATCCCTACCACGATTACGGGTGAATCGCATACACTCCACCCGAGTAACGATTCAACTCTGCAATCGCCGACGGACACTTGGCCATCAACCCTCCTCCAGGAGCAACAAGATCCTACTGATCCCATCATGCATCATGCTATGCACACACTAACATCAAGCACAATATGTGCACACGATCCTACTGATCCATCATCATACAACACACAATCATCAAGCACATAAGGTGCACACGATCCTACTGATCCATCATCATACATCGCATATATATATATATATATATATATATATATATATATCACACAATCAACCAATCGAATTAATCACATTAGGCATCGGCAAAACAGCCTTATAACACTCAACATACACCCAGCATCCTTGCACTAACTCTGTACACCAAACAGATCACAATCATCAACATCAGATGAACACAACTCAATTAAAACAAAATCCTGCTACGTTCACTACCTTGCTCGCTACGCGAGCTCCTAGCGAACGCTCGCTACACGTTCGCCTAGCGAACCTGCTCGCGAGTCACACTTCTGAGCTACTGGTAGTGTTCGCTACCACCTCGCTGGGACTTCGCCTCGCGAATCCTTCGCTACACCACTCGCCTAGAGAACCTGCTAGCGAGTATAGAAAAATGGCCACTGGAATGGCTCGCGACCTAGCTCGCCTAGCAAGCACCTAGCGAATGCTCGCTACTCACTCGCCTAGCAAACCTGCTAGCGAGTGTCTGCGATTTCAGAAAAATCCCCCTGTGCAAAATCCCAATAGCAGCTCAAAACCCAACAAATTCTCTCTAGACCAGTACCAACAACCTCAACTTAGCATTCTACATAAATTCTACCCAACTAATTCTAAAATCATCCGATAAAACATCAACTTCTGCCGATTAATCCACTTTCGGCTTAAAACCTTAATCTACTCCGAAATACCCAATTCACCCAAACAATCATCAAACATTACATGCAATGGTTCCACCATGACAATAAAAATCAGAACTTACTCAACTACATGCAATCATCATTGTAGCACCCTAATTTTTGACCTTAAGATCCCGCCTCTTTGTGCTTATTTATTGCTTGTTTTATTTTACTTTTATATGTATGTTTATTACGACTAACTAGCTCGTGAAGGTACAATGATGTCAAGTGGAGATGATAATCATTTTCTCATTTTAATTACTTCAAGGCATGACAAGTTGATCTTGACTTGAAGTCCTCCTAGGGTTTCTACTTGATATAGGCTCTGTTTTCAAAATTCTTTCTCCATTCTTGGGCCAATACTTTGAAGATATCTTGGATGAACTTTCTAGTTATGTCTCGTTAAGAACAAGATTGGGCTTTAGTTTCTTATGGTTCAAGCAAAATTCAAAAGTTCAAATTCATCATTAAAAACTCTAAACTTCAAGAGCAACATTCGCCAATTCGAGTTCATTTCCAATAATCAAGGTTTGGACGGTTAAGGGAGAAGGTCGTGCTTATGGTTTGCATAAAATCCAAGTTACAAGTAATGAGTTATTGATCATTGAGTAGAACATTTGGAACCAAAGTTACAATGGGGCGCATCATTCAAAATATTCAATATTTGCAAAAAGTAGCCTTTATGTTCATCAAGTTTTGGAGTTCAAGTCACAAAAAGGGCATATACCATTTCCAATCGTCTTGAGTCGTATTGTTCAAATCATTCAAGTGTCCAAGATTCCTACATAATAGGCTATTACAAGGGGAGTTTTAATTCAAGGAATTTCTTTCTGTTATAACCCAAGGAGGTTAAGTTCTATCAAATTCAAAGTCAAAAGAGTGAAAGTTCAAGATCAATGCGAAAGAGAAGATATTTTGAATAGTTGGAATTTATCACCAATTCAAAGTTACAAATATAAGGTGACTCACATGTTCACATGGTTCTTTATAAAGAACAAATTAATTTCACATCCATAAAGTCAAGGACCATTACAATGTACGTAAAGTCTAAGTACAAATCCATCATTTCATTGCAAGTAATCTCGAATTTGAACCCAACGAACATGTTCTTCTCCCTTCCAAGTTTTGATGGTTGGAAACATCAAGAGGATCGTCTGAACTTTTCTTCGGATCCATAAAAGAAAATATGCAGGGTGCTACTCTTCACAAGACGCTTTTTCTACACCTACACAAGACGTTTTTTCTACACCTACACAAGATATCCGCAGCTTCAAGAACACTCATTGCCATTTAAAATGCTGCAATCACAACAAAAAGGAAATTCAGAGAGATTTTAGCAAGAGAATCAAGAATTCCATAACAGACATAACAGTCATGTTCTGCTATACCAACTAAAAAATGATAACAGGACCATTCTCGCCGGTAATGCACCTTAAATCATCATAAGCCTGCAACAAGGGTGCCCTGCTGTCAACCTTCCTATATCTACGCAATGGAACTGCCGCATAAGCTAGGAGATTGCTAAACCCTCTCCGCGCCATAATCACAAGGTTACGTTTGTATTGATTCCACGAAAGCTTAGTCGCACCAGGTTTGTTCCCGAAGTAGAACGCGAATACCGGTTTGAGGAACATTCTTCTTGGACAGCTCCCTTTTCTTCAAATCTGTCAACACCATTTGAATCCCATGAGAGAGTCATAACAAGGCCTATAACATGTAAAAACAGAGCCAATGTAATGTGATGGTGATCGAACTTACCAAAGCATATGCCTGTCTTGAACCAAACCTGCTGAAAATACAAATTATGCACAATGAAGCTTAGAAGATGAACACGGGAAAGCTGAGGAGTCACGAACCAAATTACCTTTGAACCCTACAGTCCCAGGCCTTACCAGAAGTTGTATCCTCATTGGTGCTTTGCAGTTTTCACCGTATTCACCTCTACACTATTTTTGCAC